TAAATAAATACATTTAAAAAAAAAAAAAAAAAAAAAAAAAAAAAAAAAAAAAAAAAAAAAAAAAAAAAAAAAAAAAAAAAAAAAAAAAAAAAAAAAGAAACATCAAACTGGACAAATGCCGTTCAGTTGTGGCAAATATTCAACATCAGCCTCTTGATGGTGACAACGACTGATGAATAATCGCGGTGTTCGGCGAATTTACACCATTTTGCATCATGATGTCGAGGAGACAATCTGCCAATCCGCTCAATGTCTTATTCTGTTTCTAGCTTTACGCCTGGTGTTTCAACGAGATCAAGATGAAACATGGTGGGTGCACGGGGCCATTGTTCTTATCCCATCCATCCCGAGGGGTCTGGGGGTTGCCCGAGGATCGATCAGTTTAGTAGTTAGAGTTCTCTTCCCCGCTAGATTGAGTGTGTGGGTGTTGGCCACCGTATCGCGTGGCACCTATTTATCGTCTCATTGCCAGACGTCCTAATCAAGATGAAGCAAGGCATTTGCTCATCTCGTTGATATCTACCGTCCTCAAGTCTGTTTCAGGTCTTGGTCTCCTGGCCTTGACGGGCTGAACTTGGTGGACTCTACACGATGACAGACCAGACGCAGGAAAATGGTCTACCGTACGGAGTACGGAGTAGATTTCTGCAGGTTTTTTGTTTTTTCTTTCTCTTTCTTCTTTTTGCCCCTCCCTCTTCTTTTCTCCGGAGGCTGCACATGCTTGTTTTATTGCAGGATGTGTCAATTGTTCTGGGTCTTGATTCAGTCCAACTATTAGGCCCCATTCATTCGTAGAACTGGACATGTACTCGACAGCAAGCTCTGCTGCACTGCGACGATAACAAGGTCTGGGGTTCATCGTCGAACCACGGTAGATTGTCAATCGGGCACCATTATACTGCATTGCGTGCAGGACATGGTGTAGTAGTACATGGTGTGCCTCGGGTTAACGACCAACCTGCGTTGAGAAAATCGGGTCAGAAGCTGATTCCAGCATGTTCGCAAGAATTTGATCTGCACCTTTCTATCGGAAGGGGGATAGAGTACGTCTCGCCCCACAGCCACAGAGCAGCATGAATTACCTCAATGTGGTGGCGATACTATTCGAACTTGATTTCTAGCGATGAGCTGTTGGACTTTGTTGGCGGCGTGGCCAAGTCGCCGCATCCAAAATGTCAAGATTGGCAGGTTGAGGCTGCTGCAGGGTAAGTCAGGATGCAGAGAAAAAGTGGCTCCATTGTCAGGAGACGTTGAAATGTTGGTGGTCCAAGTTGTCCATTCCAAACCACTGACGTATGTAACGCCACCAGCCTTCAGAGGGCCAACTTGTGAGAGGTGGGTGATATTAGGGCTTCAAAGAACGGTGAATACGAGGAGTCGACACCGACTTTTTACACGCGCAAACAGAGCGCGTCGCATCTTTTTTTTTATATCTACAATCACTCATCTTGCAGCTGCATTGCCTTCAGCCAACGACGGCTGTCCGCTCTCGAACGTGGAGTGAACCAGTCAAGTGGAAATCAAGTGGTCCAACCGCCGCTGACCACTGACGTTCCGCATTGCCCCGCCATTGTTAGCTTTCCAGTGCTCCCCACCAGGAACCAGACAGAAAGAACAATCCGTCGAGGTACAAGCGGCACAAGCTGTCTGGTCCAACTTATTACATCCCCAAGACAAAGGCATTACTCGCATTACTCTCGGCATCGCCTTGGTCGCTGTTCCCTCCCACAACGGCGTGCTCATTGCACTGCAGACAAAAAGCAAAAAACAATGCATGTGGCCACCAACGGCGATGGCCCGTCGCTCGTGAGGGCTGAGTCACCAACGGGCTCGCCGCGATCTGCTTCCGTGTCACTACAGGCAGCGGCAACGATGAATGCCGGCCTTCAGCGGGAGCCCTCACGTCGTACGTTTTTTTGCATTTCTTTCATCAAGTTTCAACCGAGCAGTTTCTTACCTGGACGTATAGGGTCTTCCACTAGCTCGCTGGCGCGGAACCCGTCATCACCAAATGCCAGCCGTCGACGATCAACCGTCCTTATGAACTTGCAGCTGAATGATCCGTCCGTCCCGGCCCCTGGAGAGATGGCACAGGAGCATTCTGGATACCATAGATTGAGCCCGCAGCCACTTTCTGGGTCGCCGCTGATGGCTGATCCGCATCATCACCGGGCACCTAGTTTGGGGGAGCTGCATCAGGAGCTCGAGGCAGAGCAAGAAGGACATGTTGTGAGTGACACCTAGTACCCAACGACCTCTTTTGCTTTGATTTATTTGTACATGTTGATGTGATATGCTGCTGACAAGGAGTAGAATCGACTCCTTCAGATGATTCGACAGCAGCAGCTCGAACTTCAACGTCTTCAAACGTCACGACCCGGCCACAGCGCCGATCCAGCCGCCGACGACAGTGCCATTGCCGAAACCGTGCCGAGACCGACACACGGAGCAGGAGGAGCATCGCAGAGTAATGTTCCCGGAAGCCAGCCCGTTGGATCCTACTCTCGCTCACCCGTGTTCCCTCGTGGGTCTATGGAAATGGCCCGCGCGGAGATGCACCGCAGATCCAGGACACCAAGCCGCGGTGCTTCCCCTCGCTTACGAGCGACTTCAATAAGTCAGGAGAGCGGAGACTGGGTCCTTGGGGGTCGTGACGAGAGCGCCTTTTACCAGGCTGAGACACAGATGCTTACCAGGGAGAATCAGATGCTGCGACATCGTATTCGTGATTTGGGTATGGGCACTGCAACCTAGGAAAATATTCCGTGAAACGACGCTAACAAATATATGCAGAGAAGCAACTTGCCGAATTTCACTCGGGCTCAGGAACAGGAACCGAGCCTTTGATACCGTCACATCTAACTCAATCATCAACAAGCGGAGAGCCAGCTGGCGAGGTCGGGCCAAAGGAGTCGTAGCTTTCGGGGACATGACGTATTGCTTGCAACTGTGTTTTAAACACATTCCTTGCGGAGTTTACGGCGGAGAATTACCATGAGAATGGGCATATATGCATAGGCGTAAGGTTAACAGAGCTCACTTGATAAGATTTGCATGAAAAGTGAACAGGCGAGAACAGCGTCCCCAAGGCTTTTAAAGGCTGCATGCATGAAGCCAAATAAGTTGAAGTCGTCCGAGCAGCAAGCACGTCTAGCCTTTACAGTACCTGCCCAAGGTTCAACCCGGGTCCTGTAGAAAGTACCTACCTAAGTAGTAAGCAGAATATACCATCCAGGCCGGCAAAATCCACTCCGAAATTCGGTGCCGCACACGACGTCATTATTGGCTCCTGGTTGTCAGTTCATCCACCTCACGGGATAGAACGGCCGACTTGCATCGCGTCTATATATTTACGCGCCGGTCAATTCGGGGCCATTGCCTCAGGTACACACAATCCTATTCATGAAATGAGTCTACGGAACCAATGCTGCCACCTGGACTAAGACAAGTGTCACGGCGCTGCTTGCGCCAGTTCAGCAGCACACCCGCCGCCCAGGCAGACTTTACTCACGCTGTATGCTATGCCCGTCATCTCGTAGCCCACACTCGATGAAGAGCAAAGGGGAGCAAAGAACTGACACCCGAAGCCAGATCATTGGCGGCGGCGTCGTCGGGCTCTCGATAGCGCACCGCCTCTCGCAGCAGAGCCCGTCGTCGTCCTCGGTCCTCATAGAGCGGCACTCGTCGCTGGGGACCGAGACGTCCTCCCGCAACAGCGAGGTCATCCACGCGGGCATCTACTACGGCCGCGACACGCTCAAGACGCGGCTGTGCCTCCGCGGCAGGCAGCTCCTCTACGAGTTCTGCGAGAGGCACGGCGTCCCGCACCGGCGCACGGGGAAATGGATCGTCGCGCAAAACGACGCGCAGCGGCGCGAGCTGGAGAGGCTGCACGCCCACTGCGCCGACATTGGCGTGCCGGTGCGCTGGGTGCCCGAGAGGGAGGTCCGGGGCGGGGGCGAGGGCGTGCGTGCCGACGGCGGCGCGCTGGAGTCGCCGACCACGGGCATCGTCGACGCCCACGGGCTG